GAGGACGCTCGCTCCTGCAGGGCCTGGGCGATGCAAAATGCAATTCCGAGGAGCCAAACGGGAGCTGGACTGCTTGGGTTTCCTCCCTTTGCCACGAGAGCAGAGGAAAGGGGAGATATCCAAGCAGAGAAGCTCCCTTTGCGCCCTCCTTTGCACCCGCTCACGCGAACCCAACCCGGCGTGCTGGGGTTTTCTCCTCCCATTAGACACCCCCGCCACAGGAGTCACTTTTCCAGTCGTGCCGGTGGCTTTTCTGCCTGGCACGGATGGGGATGGGCAACCCGATCTCCTCCCGAGATTGCACGCGGTGTCCCGGAGAGGCAGGATTCGCATCCCGCTCTCTCCAGCCCCGCATCCACGCGCTCGGCCCCAGGCACCCTCTGTCCGGGCACACGCCGCTTCTCCATGGACCACGCAGGACAACTTGGAGGTGCCACACGGACCCCCCAACACCTGCAGCAACAGCAGTACGTTCAAAGCTCCCCAAAGCCCCAAAACCCGCTCCCCAAAGCCCCAAACTCCGCTCCCGATGGCACTTGTGAAAGTCCCATCCAGGTGTCACTTCATTAAACACCCTGGGACTCCAGCCTGGGAAGAAGAAAACAATTTCGGAGAGGGAGCTTGGTTGGCAAAGCAGCAGGTTCCTCCGAGTGACACCAGGTTAATAAAGCAAGAGCAGATCCCAGCCTTGTTTAATTAAAAAAAAAAAAAAGCAAACTGCAATCCCAAGTCTTTGATGTGTTTTGTTTTTTTCTTCTTTTTTTGTTCCAGGTCGTTTTTGACCTAGCCCAAGCCATCTAATTGAGATTTTTAAGTCCCAGACTTTCATCTGGGAAGAAACTAAAGGAATTCCCAAAGTGGGATCATGGTCAGGGGTGAAGGAAAAATGTGCTAGAGCCACTGTTCTTCTCGCAGAGAGAAAGGAAAAAAAAATGGCTTTGTTTCCCAAGTAGACATTAGTGCGTACAGCGGCGGAGTCAAAGTTCCCATTGTCATGAAAAACAATATAATCCCATTACTAAGCAAAGTGGCCCGGCTATTCACCAGCACCAGCAACCCACTACCTGGGAAGGAGTCGCT